ATCACAACTCTTGAGGCATCATATATCTCCTGCTAATGAAGTGACAAAAATATTTACCTTCAGGATAAATTTCATGAATAACAAACATCCCTGCTTTGTGTAAAAGAACTTTACTACATCATATCAGGAGCTCACAGACTCTCCCTGGTGGTCCAGCAGATTTGACCACAATACATTTCCATGTTGTTTGATCAAAGTATAAGTAAGAATTAAAAGAAAAAATAGAAATAATAAATTAAGAATAGTTAAATTGGGCATGATGAGAGTGCAAACACAGTTACTATGGTATACTTTATTTTAGATGATAGTATGTACCTAATTTGTTTCATACTCAGAAACATGCATAGAATGAACTGTTTCAAAGTAGCAGTCCATAGTTAGTACTATTACAATACCTGGCCATTATGGGCATGATGCAGAAATGCTTGGAGCTGCCCTTTCAAAAGGGGAATTTCAAAAGGGGAGCAGATGCTAGATTCTAATTGTTATGTGTGAACAAGCTGAGAGTGATTAAATGCAGCATTACCACTGCATCTTTAACACTCCTTTATCCAGGGTTAAAGTTGGAGTAGATTTGCTGCATTTTAATTATTGTCTGCCTGTACCTGCATAACAATTAAACCATACCAGCTGCTGGCCCTTTGAAAAATTCCCCTTTTGAAGCGGTTTCAAGCATGAGTCTGACCACACCCCAGTGGCCCAGTTTAAGCAAACTGCTGCCCCAGGATGGACTTGATGATGTAGAAAACGCACCATGATCTAGGTCTAGGAAGTAATTGAATACCATAGTAAAATTGCTATGCATTTTTAAGGGGTAACTTTAGACTCCATATAAATGTTACACTTAAGACATGATTAACCAGTTAATCACATCTTAAATTCTGACCCAGCCACATGTTCAATCAATTAATGGTGTGATAAAACAAGTAATTAGCCACAAAGGTATTTCACAGAAAATATGTCATAATTTTGTGGTTTGTTCTTATCATACCATTAATTGAATATGTGGCCAAGTTGAGGCTCCCAGCCACAGGGGTGCACCACACACTGCCACAGCTGCGGACCCCCATAGCTGACTGAGCCTCATCAGCTGCAGGACTTGCAGCCATGGAAGTTTGCTACTTGCCAGTGCAGGGGGAGCCCAGGACTACGATCCCAGGCTCCCCCTGCACCAGCAATAAGGCATGATTGAATCTGATGTTGGATCCCACAACGACGCCTCCTGCCATGCACATATGGCATGACAGGAAGTGTGATTGTGTGGATCACACATTAGACCCTATTTTGCCTTTACCTGAATGTCTGGAAGGGGCCCTTAGATTCAGCTGAAGTAATTTTTTTTACATAGTAGAGCTCTGTGTTATCTTTCTGCTTCAATTTTGCTACATAATATTCATTTTATTATGTAGTCAGTAAGACTTCTTTCTAAACCCTGAATCTCTACTTAGAATACTTTACCCTTGGGTATGTTCATCCAGCTTATGCACGTCATTTAACTTGGTCAGATCATTAGGATTTGTAGGTTTCAGCACTTCTGAATGTTAGGGAAGTTGTGTTTGAATGTCAATATAGATTTAGTGGTTTAAAATTAGGGACCCAAATTTGGCCTAAACTTTAAAAAAGAGAAAAATGAACTAGATGGACTAAGCTGAACATAGCGAAATCAAAGTTTCATTTTAGATAATGCCAAAAGTCGCACTGAATTCAGCAGTGGCAGCCTTGTATCTTAAGAGAAAAAGAAGCCTAGTGTTTTCAGTGAATTAACTTTGGGTAGAAAATATGATTTTGGCACATCTGAAGGCCATGGTTGCAATATAGGAAGTACAAAACTATTCTTTCTTGCTTATTCTAACATTTTGTTTGAATTTGGCATTGTGAGTCAACATTGACTTCAGTGAAAGCTGTGTATAAGCAAAAATTCTAGAATATGGCCCCACTACACCCAAACATGTGTACAGATATACAAAAGCTATATGCGGCTGGGGCATTTGAATAATCAAAATCAATGGAGCCATCTTAATAATGTAGTTGTTTGAAAAAACAAAGTTACGCCCTTTAAAAGGTACGGTGTGTGTAAGGGAAGAGGTCATTCCATGAGTGCCATTGTCAGGAGTCAGTTATGCCCTTTAAGTTGCCAGTTCTCCTACATTTAGATAAAGTATGGTGAGAAGTAGGATTTAGGACACTCAAAACAGTATATGCAGTGTTTTCTTTTGACACTTACTGGTGCCCACAGAAAGCAGAGCTATGACCATTTAACTTTCCCAGAGAAACCCTTTCTGGGGCCATGATGATTGCAAGCAATAATAACCAGCATGCTCTTTGTGCTCTACACTCCCAGTGCAAAAATATGGCTGCTTCCAGCCTGGAATTTAATAACGTTTTGTTTGGGTTTTTGTTTGATGTTTAAAATGCTAGGAGTATAAGCCAAGGTACAACTTCATATTTCAGTCATAGTTATACACGTCACTGCTAGTTTAAAACTGAGGCAGGTCATGTAAACTTTATTGCCAGGATTTGGATGAATGCAGATAGCATTTTTCAAAGTAAAGTAATAAGTATATTGCTATGTAAGAAGTAGCATTTGTGCATGAATATGACATGTTTTCATAAGCTGATTGATTCCTACTTATTGCCCAGCAAATATGTGGTCCTCATGGTGGATTATACAAAGTTATTTCTTAAATCTAGATGATGTCATTGTTACTATGGATGGAGGCTTTCTTGTGTCATATGTAAATGGATCGAGAATGTAAAGCTACCTAAGAACACATTGGCACAATTGATCCTAATACCACTGAATAGAGCCATCCTAATATGTCCCTAATCCAAAGATAATATATTTCAAATAACACTTTAAACCAAATGATATAGGAATAAAAATGTATTACCATTAATAGAAGAAAACATGTTATATCTCTTACTTGTAAGTTTGGGATTCCCCTTGGACTCATTTTAGTCCAAAGTAGATAAAGTAGAATATATCACACCATACATTAATCTCAGAACATGAAAGCATAGATTGTGGCTAGTCATTGAAATCAGGAAGGGTTACTCTAAGGATTAATCTAACCTATTTTGTGATTTAGACATACATTCATGTACTTGCTATCAAAAGGTGCTTTATTGAATTAATTGCTGAGCTCAGAAGATTAGATACTAGCATCTCATAAAATACACTCAAAATTCTTAGTGTTTGCAACATTTTTATGGGTAGAAAATTCAAACAAAAAATCAAAAGCTGATTCTGAAAATCAGATACTTAACATTTTGCAATATGTGACTGACCAGAATCGCTTGTACCTGCCCACTTCTCCTTAGTCTTTTGAACCATGTTGCCCACTGATGGCAATAATACACTAGGACAAGGTTGGCCACATTCAGCCCATGGGTCTAAGCCACAAGTGGGCTCCAGAGAGCTTTGCCTGTGCCAGAGTTTTGTTTGTGCCATGGTTGGATGCCATGGAGAATTAGTGGTACTGGCAGGAACCTGGTTGGCCTGCCCCCAACCTGAGCTGGGTTTTTCTGGCCTACCACTTTAAGATGTTGCAGGCTGCTGCACTAGGAGCTAGGAATGTAACCTCAGACTCAGGTAATACTAAAGTTATGCCTACTGGCAAATGAGAACTTATTACAGGGGACTAATCACCCTACAACAGGGGAGCTTAGCCTCCACCCAAATGGCCTGTGATGCTCATCGTGGGCCAGGAAATTTGGTGTCAGGGCAGTGGTGGCCATATGAATTTTGGCCATCACTCCCCTGACAAATTCTCATACACCCAGCCCTCCACTGCCAGTTGCAGTTAGGCCATGCCCCTGTCTCCTGGCAGGGCCAAGCCAAGCCAAGCCCCAACCCCCGCCGGCACAGTTGAGGCCAAGCCATAAGGATGAGGCTGGGCCATACCCCCTTTTGCCCTATGGGGGGCAAGCCATGCCCTCTTTTCCCCACAGGGCCAGGCAACACCCCCTTCCCCCGCAGGGCTGAGTTGCTACTGATCTGCCATCCATGCTCCTCCATGTGGCTGGATGGTGCCCACCTTGCCTGCACTGGCACTAGATTGATTCTGTTGGCCCATGGATGGACAAGGCACTGCCCATCTGACCCAGCAGGGAAAAAGGTTGAGCACTACTGTTCTACACAGTGAGGCCTCTTGGTAAATGCCTCTCCATACCCTACCTATGCCATTCAGAGAGAGAGAGAGAGAGAGAGAGAGAGAGAGAGAGAGAGAGTGTGTGTGTGTGTGTGTGTGTGTGTGTGTGTGTGTGTGTGTTTAATGATTGTTTGGAAGTCCAGGCAAGGTTATGGCCCTTAAGATAGTTTCAAAGGGACTTCCATAACTTTGGTACTCTAAACTGATTAAATTAGGCCAGGACCTGGCCCCATACATCAACCTGCTGAAGACAGCTGAAGCCTTCTTAGCCTCTCTACATACTAGTTGAAGTCTGAGCCCTGTACTGCAGAATTCCAAGAATTTTACTCAAAGAGAATTTTAAAAATATTTTTATTACTTTAAAAATAAACTTGCTATGTCAGAGAGATTGTAAAATGTCTATAAGAAGACGAGAGAAATTCTTGTTAGATTACTCTGGGGGAATAAAAGGAACACATGTTGGTGACACACGATTATCCTGTTCCTCCCTTAGTTACAGTTCAAAAATTACCACTGCCAAGTTATTAGTAGAAGCTTTAAATGCATTTACCTGTCCAATGTGTTCCTGATTTGAAAAGTGCATTTTACGTTTTCTTTTCTTTTTGGAGAAGTTTGATGCCAATGAAGAAGAAAAAATATAGCTTGAAAAGCAAACCTGTATGCAGAGTTACCATAAATAGACCATTTAAAGTAACAGTGATATCTGCTGTCAGAGATGTAACATTTTTTATTTCATAGTGGAAATAGCATGTTAGAGTAGTCTTCTGCTCTATTTAGAGGACAAGGGTAATGACTCTTTGCACATTCATTTAGGTTATTCATTTCTGCTTATTTTCTTTTTTCTACTAGGCTGATGATAAAGACACTGGAAATTACAGTGCCATGCAATACAGGCTCATCATACCGCCAATCAAGGATGGCAAAGAAGGTTTTGTGATCGAAGCCTATACAGGGCTTATAAAAACTGCCATGTTGTTCAAAAACATGAGAAGAGCCTATTTCAAGTTTCAGGTCATTGCAACTGACAATTATGGAAAAGGCTTAAGCGGTAAATCAGATGTGCTTGTAAGTATGAGTCAGTCAGTATTTTGGAATTATTCCTGACACCACAGAGGAAATTCTAATCCTAGATATACTATCAGATCATACAGTTATAAAGAATGTGCAGGAACTTTGAGAATTTTTAAATTTTAAAGCCAAAAGTTTATCTGAATAACGGAAAAAACATTTGTACTTATCTATATGTACTGTCTAAAATAGACAATACAGCATCATAGAGATACTGATTTCAATGCACAGAATAGGCCCTGTATTATTCAACATTTCAGCAAGGTTTAATTGTTTGAATTACATTTGAAGTGAATAAAGCCAGGTATTTCTAAACTTGCTTATTGACACAGCAAGGGAAATTTTGCAGGCAGTAAAGCAACATGTTTTGTTTTGTTTTGTTTTGTTTCTCTAATCACCACAAGTACAAGATTAGAGGCCTTGTGTTGTTTTTTATAAAACAAACATGCCTTTGGGAATTATGCTAAATGGCTTATGAGGGAAATGCAGAGGTTAGAATGTCTTAGATTTTTATGTTGCAAAGAAGTGTTCAGAGTAAAATACTCCTATAAGGAGGCCTCAGGAAGTTGACCTCAAAAACAAAGTTTAGATTGGAATTCAACCTTACATTTTTGTTTAGAAATATAAACCATTCCAAAACTTTACTTCTCTAATAGGAACATCTCCTAATTTCCAATAAGATTTGTCTATTCCCAGTTTGTGGCTATTTGATCTTATGCCAAGTCATTTTTTTATTACCAGCAAACCCAGATTCCAAGAATGGGATATGTTTAGGTCTTTAAATCATTTTCTCTGCTGAATGCAAGTGGTAACATAGTCCATGCACAGAAACCACAAAAAAATCATCAGAGATAAAGCTTATTACAACCTGTATTATTTCAAGGATTTGTTTCTTTGACACTGTTTCTCACCCTATTCTCATTAAAAAAAAAAACTAGGAGACTGCAGCATTGATGCCTACACAGTCAGATGGGTGGCAAATTGGCTTGATGGTCACACCAAGAGGTGGTGGAAGGGTCTTTTTTGACCTGGAGGGATGTGGGCAGTGGAGTTCCCCAGGGCTTGGTCCTCAGGCCTATGCTATTCAACATCTTTATCAGCAACTTGGAGCTGGGCGTGGAAAGCACGCTGTCCAAATTCATAGATTCATAGATGTTAGGGTCGGAAGGGACCTCAATAGATCATCGAGTCCAACCCCCTGCATAGGCAGGAAAGAAGGCTGGGGCTAGAACCCCCGGGGGCGCCTTGGTGAATAAAACCTCACCAATTCCCTTCTGGGCCCCCGTGATGAACTTATAGGCAGCCACAAGGTCGCCTCTCAACCTTCTCTTGCGGAGGCTGAAAAGGTCCAGGTTTTCTAGTCTCTCCTCGTAGGGCTTGGTCTGCAGGCCCTTAACCATACGAGTGGCCCTTCTCTGGACCCTCTCCAGGTTATCCACATCCCTCTTGAAGTGCGTCGCCCAGAATTGCACGCAGTACTCCAACTGCGGTCTGACCAGTGCCCGATAGAGGGGAAGTATCACCTCCTTGGACCTATTCGTCATGCATCTGCTGATGCACGATAAAGTGCCATTGGCTTTTCTGATGGCTTCGTCACACTGCCGACTCATGTTC